CCGCCCCCAAGAATCGTTTCCACTGCTTTAAGCATAGTTATGGCAGAAACTATGTAGAGATACTCACGAGGAAGATGTACTGAGCACGTGGATTGTCGAACGATAACACTTGAAACGCTAGCGGTTCCTCCGCAATGAATACTCCCATCAGCATCGTAATCAGGTTGGAAGACTGAAAAATCATCATTTATATGTTATCTCAAAAACTCTGTGGGTTTTTCATTGAGTGGAAGAGGTAGAAGGTACAGCGGTTAGGATGGGCACCAATACCTATGAGACGACAGCTTGACAGAAGTGATTTAGATGTTCACTTCCAGCTGGAAAGTGCGTCAGGAGTTGCCACTTGTGACTGTGCACGCCCTTTATGACGGAAAACACCCACTGCAAGTGCCGCATGGAGAGAAGCGGTCTCACTCGTCTGTCTACTCTCTCGATCTCCACTATCTGATTTGCCCGCTCACGCTTACAGTTTCTTCTTGCTTTAAGCTTGTACATTATTAGCATTTTTTTCATTTCATCTGCAGCGGAGAGGACTATGAGTGCCATAACTACCGGATCCTTTTGTCGGACCAATTGATTACTCACCATAATGTAGTCCTTGCAGATGTAATTCGAATTTCTTTGTTTCACTATCAGCAGCATCTCCTCGAAAAGGAACAGTAATCGGGTGTTCTTCGAGCCCGCTAGACGGAACGGAGCCTCGAGAAGGAGTTCACCGTAAGCTGACAGATTGGCGGCTTCCTCAAAGAGCTATAGTGAGAAACCATACCGAAAATCTACAAGATGCTAAAAAAAGTGAAATTCCAGAAAATGACATGTGGAGGGGCAAAGCTGGTCCTGCTCCCAAATGGTAGCAAACATGGTTAAAGGCAAACGCCATCTGAGGTCAAGGCGCGCCTAGCATTGCGTTTCTTTACTGGTTCATCACTTCCTTTCAAGACGGTAAGGAGGAAGGACGAGTTATTAATGAAGACGCAATGGTTGACCTGGCTCCTCCCATACCATCAGCGCGGAACTGGCTTTCAACCTATTAGTTTCTAAAATGCCGTTCGGAAACCTTGGAGCCATTTTCTGACCCTTTGACCAACCTTATCGACAGTCCACTTTTGAATGGCCGCCTGTAACTGCTCCACCCTTTCGGCATGTTCGGCACGTTTCTTTTCATCGTTGATCCTTGACGCTTGTGACGTCATCACCTCATGAGCCCGTTTTACCAGCGCGTAGTCGTCGGCCGACAACGTACTCGGCAAATGCTTCAACATGTTCTGAAACATGGAAAAATTATTTTTCATAAATTTTTGTTCGTTATTTACTTTCGATTTCTTCTGGGCTTCAATTTTTGATCATCTAAAGTATGTGAAAACCTTGCAATAGGGAACCTCGAACTCCAAGCAAAAATAAACAAACAAGTAAGTCATTTACGGTAGATCTTCAAGGGCATCGCGAATGTTATGCGACTGAAATTTTTGAAACGATTCCAAAACCACCTTTCCCAGAAAACCCTCTTTCATTTTCCCTTCATTTCTTTGTTTCCTTTTTCCTTTTTTCTCGTTTTTGAAGTTTCTCGGCTTCCTTTTTCTTCGAAGCCTTTCTATGAATAGAGAAGAACTTCTGTTCCAACTTTACCAGGATTGACCATGACTTCCCTCTGCTGACTGTTTTTAGGCCGACTACATACCTTGACCCAAAAAGACACGGAACTCTAATTAATTAGCATTTTCAACGCTCCGGTAGGCTGAGTAATCAAATGCAAAGCGCGCGCTATATAAAGCGCTACGCGTTGATCAACTCTTGTTTGGGTCGCCAAACGCATTGGAATCTCGTGGAGCAATGGCTTTCGAGCGCTTATTCAGACCTGGAAAGTTCGAGTAGGTGCTACTCTTTATGTTCCCTCCTTCTTCGCCTCCCCCACCAAGAAGCACTAATCTGTATCTGTAGTCTCGGAGTCTCGTTCTCATGCCTCCCAGCCTCACTGAGGCATTACCATTTTGCCACATAGGGGCAGGGAGCTGCAAGGATAGGCGTGACTTTCGCGGGAGAATCTACTTTCATGAGTTATCCACAGGGGTCTTACGGGTCTTTTTTTATTACTTCACTGGACTAGCACTAGAAAAATTTTAAATCGTGCACGAGAAAACCTTCTCCGAAAACTTTCTCCTCCGAAAGATTCCCGCTTAGTATGCGCTACATATGCACTCCTCCCACTTCCCACCTTCCTCAGCTTCGACTGCAAAATTTGTTTGAAAAACTGGAAAAATACTGGGAAGAAACAGGAACTTGGGAAAAGAAGTAAGGTGGAAGGTAGGAAGGGGAGGGCGTCGCACTAGAGAAAGAAATTGCGGGGGGGGGGGTTGGGGAAGCACATTCTGCGAAAACCTTTCCTTGCAGCTGGAAGTAGCCTGAGTTCGTAGATGCAGTTGTCTTCTACCGACCCTCATAAAACCTCATAAGAAATTGCGATCACTTTTGACCCCCCCCACCCCAACATCGAGTACAAACCAAGAGACAAACCGTCACAAGCTCCCTATATCTCGTCCCTTGGGGAGCAGAGTACCTCGAGAGGACTCAGCAAAGCTCGCCTTAGCAAACACCACACCACTTGAACGTAAGTCACACCTAAACGAAACACATACCTCTATGAACAAGTGATACTTGAGTATTCGTTGAACTGGTTTGAGGAGATATGCACTCAATGGGAGAGCGTGTCCGAGTGCCGTTTGACGATGGGCCAACGCAGCAGCCATGTGTGGGAGTTGTTGCATTTCCGCAAGTGTTGCAATCATTCTAAATCAATCTCCTTCTGAATCAGACAAGTTCACTTTCTAGGTGAAACCAGTTCACCCCCAAACTACATTGAATGAGCCATAAGTACCTACTGCTTCCAGCAAAACTAACCTATGATAGTTTGTGCAGTACGCGATGTAGTCTTCAAATTTCCCAGCGTTATCCACGAAACAACGACTCATCTGAAGACATTACAATTTTTGGCAAAGAAAAAGCATGGGGAAAAGGAAATGTTGGAAGAGGGAGAGGTGGGATGAGTGGCATTGCCAGGAAAAAGATTTCGGCTAGAAAATGGCCCCTATTTAACTGCTCCTCGAACTCTTTCATTTACTGGTACCAGCTTTCACTAACATTATACAATCTACACCGTTGTGCATTTTACATTTTCGTTGTGCGAATCTCACAAGAGGGGTCGTATTCCGCCGCTGTAGGAGAGATCCTACCGAGACCCTCCACTTGAGAAGGGGGGATAGCGGGGTCGTGCTGATAGCGCCATTCAATACCGATGATATATCCTGACTGGTACTTGTTGTAGCATGCTAGCGACAACACGTGTTCGAGGCAACAATTTTTTGCGCATTCCGTTCAAACTGTAGGTGGAGGGG